AGGAGCTTCGCCTGTGTTCATGAAATAGGTAATAGTAAAAATGATTATTGTGATGATGATGTCTTGATACCTGACGTTTCTAAAGTGGTCTACGTGCCTGAGGCCATCCTAAGTACTTGAATGAATGACAGTTAACCCCAGAAGATAGCGCTATACTGTCCCCATTTTAGAGATGAAAAAACAGAGGCCCAAAGAGGTGAGGTGACTCACCCAAGGCCACACCACCCATCTGTGACAGAAGTCCACTCAGTCGAGGGCTGTTTCTGTCATTTCATTCAGAGATTCTCAGACAAAACTTGAAGTGTGAGTGAGGGACGTGAGGGTGTCCCCAGTTTTCTTCGGAACCATCTTCAAGAGGGAAGCTGAGGAAGTGGCCCTGGCTGGAGAAAAGATCGGGAATGAAATCAAAGAAGGAAAGAGGATGGAGTTCTTGTGAGAAAACCCTCCCCATCCTTCTAAACCTGCCAAAGATGGAGAACCGGCCCCCGTCTCTGTGTCCGGTTGAGGGGAAGGGCAGGCAAGGGGCCACCTCTGTGAGCTCAGGGAAGGAAGTCATTTGTTGAGGGGGCTGCTTAGGAAGATGGATGGAGAGGAACCCTGGGGGGCTAATTACCTAATAGGCTTAATGATCTGATTAGGCATGTTTAAGAGGATTGCCTTGGACTAAAGGAAACCCCTTAATTCTGGACCTCCTCCCCTTGCCTGAAAAGCCACATCTAGCCTCTTGCCCCCATACCTCCATGTTCACATGGCAGGGAACCCAGAATTTTCTTTCTCTTTCTTTTTTTTTGGTCATGCCATGCAACAATGTAGGATCTTATTTCCCAGACCAAGGATCAAACCCGTGCCCCCTTCAGTGAAAAATACAGAGTCCTAACCAGTGGACCACCAGGGAATTGCTGGGGAACCCAGAACTTTCAATCTTAAGTGACCAAGTGGAGATGAGCAGGGCTCCCAGCCCCCAGGACCCTGCCCCATCCTTCTAACAGAGCAGTTTCTCTTTTATCTGCTCTGGATGTTGGAGTTTCATTGGAGACATTGAAACTACATTTCCTTTGCTTAAAAGAAAAAACCACTGGGGGATGATGGTCCAAGACCTTAAGCTTCAGAAACCAAACGGCCTGGCTTGTCCCTTCTTCTTCCCAGGATTTGTGTGTGCTCAGCTGCTCAGTCGCATCTGACTCTTTGCGGCCCCATGGACTGTAGCGCACCAGGCTCCTCTACCCATGAAATTTTCCAGGCAAGAATACTGTAGTGGGGTGCCATTTCCTCTTCCAGGGGATCTTCCTGACCCAGAGATTGAATCTGTGTCTCCTGCGTTGGCAGTGGATTATTTACCAGTCGTGCCAACAGGGAAGCCCTTCCCAGGGTTTATTATATGCCTGCCATGGGCTGGGCGCTACGTGAGTCCTTGGACATGAGGAAGAGCTTCAGTGACATGGCCCACACTGGACTTTGTGGTACATCCTTCTGAAGGCAGGAAACAGAGATCCATCTCCTCCCTAGGGTTCCAGGAAAAGTTCCAAGAAGATGGGACATTTGAGGGGAGACCTGAAGCACAAGAGGAATTCACTGGGGGAGGCGCATTCTTTGCAACCCTGCGGACTGTAGCCCACCAACCTCCTCTGTCCCTGGGATTCTTCAGGCAAGAATACTGTAGCGGGTTGCCATTTCCTCCTCCAGGGAATCTTCCCAACCCGGGGGTCGAACCCGGGTCTCCTGGGTCTCCTGCACTGGCAGGTGGATTCTTTACCACTGAGCCACCTGGGGGAGTGGAGTTCTATACAAAGAGAATGTGCAAAGGCCCTGAGGTGGGAGGGAGGAGGGAAGTTTGAGGAGCAGAAAGGAAGGTGGGTCTAATGTGCCAGGAGAAAGATAAGGATGTGAAGCTGGAAAAGAGGGCGGGGCCAAATCACAGAGAGATTCAGACTCAGAAGGTTCCTGCATTTTTCCCCTGGGAGGACACGGGTGGTGGTGGGGGCAACAGTTTGAGTAGAAGATCGCAGAGGTTAGGCAGTTGCCTTGAGCCTGCGTTAACAAAGTGCTTTACACATGACCAAGAAAATTGGTTGATAACAAAGAATGACCAAAGCCTCATTAAGGACTCTTGGTGCTGCCTCCTGCCTCAAGGTCTTGGAGGCTGTCCTGGTGCATACTGGTCTTCAGCTGCCAGCAGGGAAGAGTTGTTAGGCATGGGTGGATCAAGAATGAATCAGAATTGTATTTGAATCTCAACCCAGCAACTGTCTTGGTGCCCTTGGGTTGGTACCTTAACTTCTCTGTGCCCCTCTGCACCTCAGTTTCCCCTTACGTAAAAATGGAGGGGACTTCCCTGTTGGTCCAGTGGTTAAGAATTTGCCTTCTAATGGAGGGGGTGTGGGTTCAACCCCTGGTCAGGGAGCTAAACCACGGAGAAAACAAAACATAAAGTGGACACAATATTGTAACAAATTTGATAAAGACCTTAAAAAATGGCCCACATCAAAACATAAAAATAAAAAATAAGTAAAACATAGTAATAAAAAAATAATGGAGAAGGAAATGGCAACACACTCCAGTATTCTTGCCTGGGAAATGCCATGGACAGAGGAGCCTGGTGGGCTTCAGTCCATGGGGTCACAAAGAGTCCAACCTGGCTTAGTGACTAAGCAACAACATATATATATATATATATATATATATATAGATATAGATATATAGTAAAACATAGTAATAAAAAAATAATGGAGAAGGAAATGGCAACACACTCCAGTATTCTTGCCTGGGAAATGCCATGGACAGAGGAGCCTGGTGGGCTTCAGTCCATGGGGTCACAAAGAGTCCAACCTGGCTTAGTGACTAAGCAACAACATATATATATATATAAACTATGTTGCAATGAGGAAGCTTCCTGGGTAGCACAGCTGGTAAAGAATCCACCTGCAATGCAGGAGACCGCAGTCTGATTCCTGGGTCGGGAAGATCCCCTGGAGAAGGGAAAGGCTGCCCACTCCAATATTCTTGGGCTTCCCTGGTGGCTCAGATGGTAAAGAATCCGCCTGCACTGTGGGAGACCTGGGTTTGATCCCTGGGTTGGAAAGATCCCCTGGAGGAGGGCATGGCAACCCGCTCCAGTATTCTTGCCTGGATAATCTGCATGGACCAAGGAGCCTGGCGGGCTCTGTGTGGTTGCAGAGTCAGACACAACTGAGCAACTAAGCACATATTGCAATGGAAGAATAAAAAAATAATAAAATAAAAATGGAGCTCATTTTCCCTTCCTCACTGGGAGGTTGTGAGGAATGGGTGAGATCAAGCCGGCAAAGCACTCAACACAGCACCAGGTCAGTAGTGAGTGTCAGAGCGTCTCCAGAGTCCAGCCTTCTGCTCCCCTCCCATGTCATTGCTTCCACCAGTCAGACCACTGTCACCTCCTGCCTGGACTATTGCAGTTGCCTCTTCACTGAGCTCTTTCACCCATGCTTGTCACAGTCTGCTCCCCTCACGGGCCTCAGAGGGATCTTTTTAAAACCTAAGACATCACACAAGGGGCTTCCCTGGTGGCTCAGCGGTAAAGAATCCACCTGCAATGCAGGAGACTTGCAGGAGACACAGGTTTGATCCCTGGGTTGGGAAGATTGCCTGGAGAAGAAAATGGCAACCTATTCCAGTAGTCTTGCCTGGAAAAGCCCATGGACAGACAAACCTGATGGGCTACAGTGCACGGAGTTACAAAAGAGTCGAACACAGCTGAGTGACTGAACTCCTCTGCTCAGAGCCTTCCTGAAGCTCCCGTCTCACCTGGAAGATAAACCACCTTGGTCCACAAGCTTGAACACACCACCACCATCCCCACCTCTCTTAGCCCTCATTTCCTCCCACTGTCCTGTCTCACTCAGCCCCAGCCCCACTAGACATCTCACCCTCACAACCCAGGCACACCCTCACCCCAGGGCCTTTGCACTTGCCCTTCCTCCACATGGCCATGTGGTTCTGTTCTGTCCCCTCCTCCACAGCTGGGAGACAGTGTATTTTAATGGTTCAGAGCAGGGACTCTGGAGCCAGGTGGGATTCAAATCTCAGCTCTACCACTTCCCAGGTGGCACTACCCAGGTGGTACCTGATGGGTACCCAGATGTTGCTAGTGGTAATGAATCCACCTGCCGGTGCAGGAGATGCAAGAGATGTGGGTTCGATCCCTGGGTTGGGAAGATCCCCTGGAGAAGGAAATGGCAACCCACTCCAGTATTCTTGCCTAGAGAATCCCATGGACAGAGGAGCCTGGCAGGCTACAGTGCACGGGGTTGCAAAGAGTTGGACATGACTGAAGCAGCTGAGCACATACGTGACACCATCTACTAGCTATGTGAACGGGAGAAATTCCTTTACCTTTGTTTCCTCATCTGTGGAATTTTTTTTTTAAGTACCTCCCTCTTAGCATCAGTGGGAAAACGATCTCATATTTGTAAATTACTTGAAACAGAGTCTAGCATGTATTAGGTACTGTGGAAGTGTCTGTTCGACAAAGAATGCTGTATTCTTGGGAAGGGCTTTCCTGGTCACCAGATCTGACAGTCCAGCACCTGCACTCCCCATCCTCTTTCCTGCCTCTTTTTGTTTTCTTGGTACTTACTGCCATCCGACAACATGAAATGCACTGTCTTGTCTCCCCTGCTCTAGAAAAATGTAACTGTATGCTTTTGGCTGAATCACTGAAACTCTTTTGACCTTATTTGCAAAATCAGGGACCTTTGCCTGTTTTCTTCATGGCTGTTTCTCTAGCATGGTGCCAAGCACATAGCAGGTGCTCAGGAATTCTTGGTGGAATGAATGAATGAGAGAATGAAAAGCATTATGTGTATTATTTCCCTATTGCTACTCTCTTGAGTCCTTGCTCCTGTATGTTACTGTGATCCCAGCGGGTTTCCTAGCCCAGCCCATGCCAATGCCTCCCAAGAGGTACTATCCAAAGGTGAAGACCCCTCTCTCCTGACTCCCCTCCCTGCTGTGTGCCCCTGCAGAGGAAGGTGAATACTTCCTGAAGGTGCTGATCCCCAGCTACGCTGCGGGCTCTATCATCGGCAAGGGTGGGCAGACCATCGTGCAGCTGCAGAAGGAGACGGGAGCCACCATCAAGCTCTCCAAGTCCAAAGACTTCTATCCGGGTGAGCCCCAACCCCGGGGGCACGCTTGCTCTGGCCTCCCATCCCTCCCATCTGGGCCCTCCAAGAGGGGGGAAGGCTCCCCTAGGGGCAGTGAGAGTGGTAGGGGGCCTCCCCTCCTCCCCCTAAGGGGACCGAGCAGCCCTGGGCACCAGGGGCCAGGCCCCGAGCAGATGGGGGTGGGGGCAGGGCAAGACAATGGACTGCTGCATATTCATGAGCTCATTTGCATGATGTGGTGGCAGATGTACCCATTCCCACACACCTGCCCCGTTGGGTCTGTTGGAGGAGCTGGGGGGGGTGGCCAAGGAGGCAGGTGTTGGGGTGTCCCTCAAGGCTTGGGGGGCCAGCCATCCGTGTTACACAGACCCTCAGTCTTTCCCTTTGGATTTCTCTGTCACCCCATCTCACCCGATCTGAGTCTCACTGGTTCTCCATCTGTGTCGTTCTTTCCATGTCTCATTCTGTTTCTATCATCTTTCTTTCTTGTCCATTGGCCGAGCCACACAGCACATGGGATCTTAGTTTCCCAGCCACGGATGGAAGCCGCGCCGCCTGCATTGGAAGCGCAGAGTTCTTAACCACTGGGCCGCCAGGGCGGTCCCTTTCTCATTCTGTTTCTGACTTTCTCTTCTCTTGTTCCCTGAGTCTCCACTCCCACTGGCTTCTCTCTGTCTCCCCCTGCCCTGTTTCTCCTCTGTCTCTCTGGTTCCATTTGGAGGTACCCCATCTCTGTTCTCTTAGCCGCCCAGCTGGTCTGTCCATCTCTGCTTTTCCCTTTCTGTCCCCTCATCTTCCCTTCCCTTTCTATCTTCCCATCTCTCTCCCCATATTTTCCTTTTCCTCCACCTCTTAGTCTCACTTTTTTTCTCCAGCTATCTCTTTCCAGTCACCCACTCAACCAGTACTTAGTAGCACCCCTCAATGGGTAGTCATTCCCTGCGGGGGGTTGCTCCTCATTTCTTTGATCCCTGCTTACCCAATCTCTCCCCTTACAGTCCTCTTTTTCTCCTGTCTCAGCTTCCTCGTGTCTTTTTTCCTGTCTCCACAATCAGCCCTTTTTTCTGCCTCTTCTCCAGCTCTATCTCCCTTCCTCCAATCATAAATTGTCCAGGCCCCTCCCCTCTCGCTAATCCCCCTCAATATCTCTCACCCGCTTCGTATCTCCCTCCCAAGACTGAAGCCTGAGCTTCAACATCTAGGAATCCAGGGAAGGTCCCCTGAATTGCATCTTTGGTCCAGTGCTGGTTCTAGTTCATCCTTAATCCCCTTGGATTTTTTAGGTCAAACACCAGAGCTGAAGCCCAGGGTCAGGACAATTTCATATTCTCTCTCCCTGTCTCTCTCTCTCTCTCTCTCTCCTCTCTCCACCCCGCCCTCTGCCTCCCATCTCACTAAGCAGCTTTGGCAAGAGGTTTAGAGAACAGTCCAGGGAACCTGGCACAACCCCCTTTTCTCTTCCACCCTGGCCCAGTTTTCCCCTCACCCCTCTAGCCCACAAGGTACAGATGGGACCTCTGCTTAGGACATCCACCCAAGGACACTTGGTTCCTTTCCCCTGGATCTCATTCTATGACATAACACACGTCATCCCCTCCCAACACAGTGACACACCCCACCGGCTAGGCAGCGGAGAACCCCAAAGGATGAGCCAGTCACTGACTCTCTCCTGGGCCAAACACTGTTCAAGCAAGCAATGTGAGCTAAGCGTCTCTCCCAAGCCCCTCAACGTGCAGCCACTCCTGCTCCCCACCCCGCAACCCCATTCGGAACTTCCAGATCATACAGCATGTGCTGGTTCCTGGCTCAGAGATGCAGGACACAGCTCTCTACATCCCAGTCCTATCCCTGGGACTTCCCAGGACCCAGAGGAACATAAGAGATGGAGATGCTACTGCTCTCGCATGTGTTTCTCTGCTTCTGGCTGATACCCTCCATTCATTCATATTCTCTGAGCATCTTCTCCAGGCCAGCCCCATGCTAGACAGATGGGGACACAGCAGTGACTGAGACACGCCAGCTTAGCCCTCATGGATCTCACATCCCAGTAGGGAAGATAAACTGAATACCAGTCATGACTTAGGGTGGTCAGGGCTGGGACTGGGGAAGCCCAGAGAATGGAGAGAGCCCAGACAGAGCACCTGACGCAGACTGAGATGATTTATCAGGAAGGGCTTCCTGGAGGAGGAAGCCAGAATAATAAGAGTGGGCTAGGTAGAGAGCAGTAAAGTGTGATGAGAGGAGATGAAAGAGCACGTTCAAAGGCTGCGGGGTGGGGGTTAGTTGTTCAGTGTGGCTGGTGAGAGGACAGGTGAGAAATGACCGTGGAGAAAGTGTAAGGGTCTAGTTAGCTCACACACACACACACACACACGCACACACACATATGTCTGCACTTATGTATCTAGTCCATGAAACAAAAATCTGTGTGGCCCTTAACCCAAAGTGAGGGGCAGAACACATGAAGGGTGCCCCCTCCTTGGTACAGAAACCCCCAAGCTCCAGATTCAATCCTTCCGAGTCATACCTGGAGAGACTTAGACCCTGAAGGAAGCAGGTACCTGCCCCAAGCCATGCAGTCTTCTGTGTAGCTTACCCAGACCTTCTCCTGATTCTAAAACTCCTTCGGATTTTAAACAGCCGCCTGAAGCCCTGGACCCTAACCTCAGAAGGAAAACAGATGTAGACACTTTTTTTTTTAATGTTTTGATTTATAACATCTTTGCGGCCAAGTTTAACACCTTACGTATTCTTTTTTATCATCAAAAATACAAAAGCAAAATTGCAATCATTCTATGTCTCCCCCCAACACATACACACACACACACACACACACACTCCACCCACACCAAGTTTAGCACAGGGTAGCTAAATGTTTAAAAGCCCAGACTCTGAAGCCAGACACATGGGTTCAAAACCCTGATTTTTTGCTACTGGCTGAATGAATTTGGACAAAACCCAGGTGCGTTAGTAATAAATCAAGAATAATAATATCGCCTGCCTCATATATTAAAATGAACAAATATATATATATATATATATATATATATATACATAAAAAGTGCTTAGAATGATGCCCGGAAATTGGTGTTATGTAAGCACCAGCTGTTATTATTAGATATTCTTTCAGGGTTTAACTGAGTCCCCCAAAGCCCCTGTGGATCCTGGTTAAGAACTACAAGCGGGTGTGAGATCACAGACTCCCTGAGCTGGAAGGAAGCCTCTCAGAGATGGAGAGCAGGGCCACTTCAGCCAGGCTCTCCCTGGGGCCACCCCACCCCCCAAGTTCCCACCCTGACCCACACCCTTTCCTATTTACACACAGACGGAGGCAGCCTATGCGCTGACTCACGCTTGGCTCAGACCAAGCCATTGTTCTGGGGTGGAGGGGAGTAAGAGTGAGGAATAGCAGCCCAGAGGACATGGGGGATGTCAGCTACACCAGTGACCCAAGACGGGGACACCCAGACACATGGCGAGACTGGCATGCCAGGCTGAGCGACGGCAAGTGAGGGATCAGGGTGTAACACTAGCATGCTGCACTGGTATACCCACAGGACACTGGACACTCACCCCCAAGTGTCCTGGACACGCAGGCACATGGAGCCTGGTGCACTCAGGACCCTTTATAGACCCAGGGAGCTAACTGGTCCTGCAAACAGAGTCCTACCCAGGGAGACACACACACACACCATACCACACCTAGCATGCCTGTATCATCTGCACTCACAGCTTCACCCCAGCCAGTCCTGGTGGAGTCTTCTTTGTCTGACTGTAATTCAGACCCTCAGACACACACACAAATACATCAATTCTCCAAATACCAATTCTTACATACTGACACCTGGGTCTGCCTGTTGGTTTCTTTCTCTTCCTCATATTCACCCTCATCATTCACAGGGTCTTGCCTGTTACCTGTACACGCGCCTTTGCACGTATATATGCAGTCTGCACACCATTTGTCCAGGTAGTCTTTTGAACACCCAGAGGTATCTGGATATCTGTTTCCCTTATGCAAACACACACACACAGACACACAGGCGCACTGTCATACAATCTCCAAGTGCTATGCATTCATCGTACAGCCTCAATGCCACTTCCTGGGATTCTTTGTTTCTTACTCCCAAACCTCCGTGCACACCCAGCTCAGTCTTACAAATAGTGTACATAACCTTGAACATCACAGTGACATCCAAAGTCTTTCTCCCCCACACAAACGTCTTTACTGAAATCACTATGTCATGCAGTCTGTTTGTATCCTGGTCTCTCCTGCTCTTTCTTTTACATACACACACAGATAAATATTTGAGCCAGTCCTTCCCAAGAAAATACATGCACACACACACACACACACCACTCACCCAAACAGCCTCACAGATGTGTTTGCACTGGTCAGTGTCACCCAGAGTCTCTCTCTCATACATATATATCCCAACGTCACCTAGAATTAGCACCTCTTCTTTCTGCTACCCACCCCAATACACACACACCCCAAGGATGCCCAGGTCAGAACCGCCACAAATATCTGGAGAATCGCCAGCAGAGGCACCCCACCGTCCTTTCTGCATCCCCATCTCCACTCTTCCATGAGTTGTCTTTGACCCACTCTGCTCTTCCCTCTCCCCACCCTTGCCCTCCCCCACCCCTCAGCCCTCCATCTGGTGGGTCCAGGCAGGCACTCAGGCCTCTCTGCTGTCTCCCCCATCCCCCAGCCCTTCCCCATCCTCTCCAAAAGCCCAGAGGCCGTCGCTGCAGGCTTTCAGGGGTTGCCAAGGCAACGGGGCCTCGTCCCTCATCCCCCTGGGGGTGGGCTGAGGACCCGGCCAGCCACACCGATAAGGGGGTTCCAGTTACTGTGGCAACCGTTGCAGGCCTGAGCTCTCAGCTTCTAGAAGGTGGAGGGGGGGGCAGTGAGTGAATGGTTGCCAAAGCAACCGAGAGCCAGCAAGGACTGGGAAGAGGCAGCTGAGCCCTGTCTCCCTTGCCCAGGGCTGTTGTGGGCATAGCAAAGCACTTAAGCATCATTCTTCCATCCCCTGGGTTTGTTTTAAGGGAGGGAGAGGAAGTGAAGATAATAAAACAGGAATTCCACTCACTCTCCTTCTGATGAGTGTGACCCCTCTCTTCCTTGCTCAACAGGAACCACAGAGAGAGTATGCCTGGTACAGGGCACAGCAGAGGCCTTGAATGCTGTGCACAGCTTTATTGCCGAGAAGGTCCGAGAAATCCCACAAGCGATGACCAAGCCTGAGGTGGTCAATATCCTTCAACCCCAAACCACAATGAATCCTGACAGAGCCAAGCAGGTTAGCAGGGATAGAGGCTGGGTTTTTGTAAAGCTGGTGGGATTTGAGAGAAAGCACTTCTTCCATGTCACCGGTTTGTGAGGAGGGTTCAATGGCATGGTGGTGGTGTTTTGGCTGTGAAGTCCTGTCTGATTCTTTGCGACCCCATGGACTGTAGCCCATCAGGCTCCTCTGTCAAAGGGATTTCCCAGACAAGAATATCGGAGTGAGTGCCATTTCTTCTCCAGGGGATCTTCCCGATCCGGGGATTGAACCTGCATTTCCTGTTTGGGAGGCATATTCTTCACCACTGAGCCACCTGGGAAGACTACTTCAATGGCAGAATAAGCTATAAAACATTTATCAATCAAATACGTGGTATTGGTTCGTAAAGAGAGTCAGCCTAAGGACGCCAGACCGCCTATTAGAGTGATTTGATTCAGAGGGAGAATGAAGGTCTGGGAGAATCTGACCAGAGACCCCCTTATTTATCCCTTCCTCCTAGGATTTACCACATCCCCTTCTCTCTTCCACCTCATTCCATTGTCTGTCAAAACCACCTGCTTCCTACTTCCTGTTCTCACCGGAAGTAACCACCCCATCCATAGGCAACACAGCACTGTTACCCACTCTGTTCATTAGTTACTGGATGGGAGTTTAGCCACCATTTTGGGAAAATGATGTTTCCTTAGGAAGAGAGGAGGCGGGTCTTTCTGCTACATAGCCCTCTTGAGGAGGGATGGAAGGAGGAACGCGGAGCTTTTCGATTGCCTGCATTATCAGGAAGCCGTGGCGGAGGGATGTGCAAGAGCGGATCAGTCGCTTCCTGGGCTTCTCGGGTTACCAAGACCCCTGTGCACACCAGGCAGGTGGGCTTCCTGCAAAGCCCCTGGCAACATGGCCCTGACCCGGCGAGCAGAAGCAGGGCACGAAGTTGGCTGCGGCAAACTCCCCGTTTGCTCTCCCTCTCTCCACTCCCATATACGTGTGCACAAGATGCAAACGGGCGAGATCCCTGAGCAGGCAGACAGCCCAACGGACGTCTGCTTGGAAGCAAAGATAGGAGAGAGGGCCTCGGTAAAAGGAAACTGGGATTCTTGGGAAATCCTGTTGCCCTGAGATGGGACAGACCACGGGTCTGAGTTTCTACGAGTTCGTGGGGAAACGGTGGGTAGCAAACCCTGGTAGAATACTGTGAAACGGAACGAACGATCCCCCCAAAACCTGCGAGCTTGAGGCTCGGAGCGCGGCTGCTGTCCTTGGTGCTGAAGCAACTCCGCCCCTCGCGTCCAGCCGGCCCTCTCCTAAATCCCTTCCCACCAGCAGGCCACAGCTTCCCTACAGTTTGCAAGGAAGCGAAGGTACTGCCTCTCCCCTCCGCCTTGGTCGTGGCCGCTAGGGACTCAGGGTTCATCAAAAGTTTGTACATGTTGCAGGGAAAATGGGGTCAGCACCATTAGCACCTGAGCGTCTTACTCCACTCCCTAAGCCACAGGAATATTTTTCTCTGCCTTGTTCGGGGGCTTCAAAGAATGAAAGAGATAATGGCTGAAGGTTCAGACACGAGTCAGATGTTGAGTTGAATTCTATTCTGATACTTCCTACCTGCGGGACCTTGAGCAAGTGACTTGATTTCTCCATGTGAAATGAGATTTATAATGGTACCTATTTAAGGGTAGTGGCTAGTGTTTATTAATGTTTGAAAAGCAATTATCCAAAAATGTTTGCTATTGTTGTTACTATGGGATTTTTGAGTCAGGAGGCAAGTCTGTCCCCTTTTTGCCTTGGACTTGCCCTGTGTCGTCTTCCTTATGTATGCTCAGTTTCCCTTTCTTCACAGTGGGGAAGCTGGGTCAGATTGGGGATTATAAATTGAAATGTCTCCAGAATTCAGAACAGGAACATAAAGGAGTGAGGTATCATAGAGGTATCATGCTATCCCTAAAGCAAGTATTTGCTGCTCCGCTCCACTTGATTCTTAACCCTTTGGGAATGAGGACGGAGCATTGTTGGGTTGACCTAAAAGTTTGTTTGGGTTTTCCCATAATATCTTCTACATTTTTCAAATGAAGTCAAACATATTTGAAATCATTTGATTTTTCAAGGTTGACTCAGTTTTTAAAACACTATGTGGCCTGAGCACCGCCAGTTTGCCCCCTCTGGGTTGGATGGGTGGTTCTCAGCCCTGGCTGGTATCTGAATCATCTGGGTTAAAACACAGATTCCTGAGTCCCAGCCTGGGACCACTGAGTCCAAATTTCTGGGGAGAAGTCCTGGGAATCTGAACATGAACTCTGGCCTGAGATCAGATCCTGGCTTTACTAGTCACCATCTGTGTGACCTTAAGCAATGTACTTAACTTCTCTGTGCCTCCCTTTCCCAATCTATGTGTGTTAGTCACTCAGCTGCATCTGACTCTTTGCAACCCCATGGACCATAACCCACCAGGCTCCTCTGTTCATGGGATTTCCCAAGCAAGAATCCTGGAGTGGGTTGTCATACCTTCTCCAGAAGATCTTCCCGACCCAGGGATTGAACCTGGGTTTCCTGCATTGTGGGCAGATTCTTTATGATCTGAGCCACCCAATCTATAACATGTGCTAATAATAGTACCTACTTTATACAGTTGTTAGTGGCTGCTGCTGTTTATTGTTACTGTTGTTTTTAAATCTCCAGACTTGCAAACGTCTGAGGCAGATGGTCTCTGAGGCCCTTCTGGCTCTAAGACACTTATAATTCTACGGCTCTGTGATTCCAAAATTCGAGGAATATATTATTCTAACATTCTACTGTTCTAACATCCAGGATTCTATAGAACTGCATCTACAGATCTAAGATGCTGTGGTCTTGCAATCTGGGCCTATCGTGAAGGCAGCTACTGTTTTCTGAGGGCTTCCCCTGTGCCAACCACCATGGAGTCACCTTAGTCATTGAATATCCCCAAGACCTGAATAGAGCCGCTGTGGTAATGTCAATGTCAGCAGTGAGGAAACGGAGGCACAGAGAGGTGAAGGCTTTTGCTTTCACCATTCCTCACTGAACACAATTTCTTGGATGGAAAGTTTTAATCCTTCTCCTGTTGCTCTGAAATGCTGTATCACATACTAAATCCCTCTTTACTCTTAGGCCTGGTTTTGTACATTCTAATGTTCTATCCCCTTGACTTGTCACACTTCTCTTTTTCCAGTGATTTCTATAAAATAACAGCTGTATTGAGATATAATCCACATACTGTAAAGTTCACCATTTTAAAGTGTTTAATTCAGTGGTTTCAGTATATTCACAAAATTGTGCGTTGATCACCACTGTCTAATTCCAAAACATTTTCACCACCCCCAAAAAAGCCCCATACCCATTAATAGTCGTTTTCTATTCCCCAGTGCCTCTGCCCCAGCCCCTTTCACCAGTGATCTACTTTTAGTGCCTATGGATTTGCCTATTCTGGATAGTTTATGTAAATTGAAGGATACATAATGATATATAATGTGGCATTCTGAGTCAGGCTTCTTTCCCTTAACATAAAGTCTTTAAGATTCATCCATACTGTGCGTGCATGCATGCTAAGTCGCTTCAGTCGTGTCCTGCTCTTTGTGACCCCATGGACTATAGCCCGCCAGGCTCTTCTGTTCATGGGGATTCTTCAGGCAAGAATACTAGAGTGGGTTGCCATTCCCTTCTCCAGGGGATCTTCCTGATCCAGGGATCAAACCCACAACTCCTACATCTCCTGCATTGATGGCAGGTTCTTTACCGCTAGGGCCACCTGAGAAACCCAAATCCACACTGTGGTGTGTATCAAAAACTTCATTCCTTTTTATGGCCAAATAATACTTCATTGTATGGATATACCACATTTTGTTTATTATTCAGCAGTTGATAGAAATGTGGGATGTTTCTATTTTAAAGCTATTATGAATTATGCTGCTAATTAACAAATGTGTCGGTAAATATGTAGGGTGGAATTTCTGGGTCATATGATAAAACCTACGTTTAACTTTTTGAAGAACTGCAAGACTGTTTTCCTAGGTGGCTGTACCACAGATGTGGGACTTAAATACAGGTCTGCACCTGGGGACAACAATCATTGCATGTGTACCTACTATCATTCACCCACCCTTGGCTAAGTATGTGCCAGGCATTCGTCTAGGCACTGAGAACCCAGCAGTAAGCAATAAAGATAAAGATTTCTACTATTATGGACCTTAAATTTTCCCCTGGGAAATCAGAAAAGAAGCAAATAAATAAAATGTATAGGATGTCAGAGAGTGAAAAGTACTATGAAGACAAGATGGAGAAAAAGGAAAGGAAGTATGGGTACCTTTTTTCTCTTAACTTTTTATTTGGAAAATGTTTAAAGAACAGTACAATGAACTCCTGTACACTGCACTTAGACTCACCAGTTATTAACATTTGCTTTATTTCTACACACAGACATACACATTGACTTTAGGGTTCTTTTTGTTGTTGATCAGCTTGATTTTTTTTTTTTTGACTGAACCCAGAGGCAAGCAGGATCTTAGTTCCCCAACCAGGGATCGAATCTGCGCCCCCTATATTGGAAGCATGCAGTCTTAACCACTAGACCACCAGGGAAGTCCCTGTTGTTGATCTATTTGAAAATAAGTTGTAGATTTTACTATTCTTCACCCTAAATACTTCAGTGTATAGCTCCCCAAAACAAGGATAGTCTCCTATATTATTATATTACTTTTATCACACTTATAAAAATTAACACTGAATTCATAATATTACTTAATAAAAAGTCCATATTCAGATTGTCCAAAATGTCTTTTACATGTATAGAGTATTTTTATTAAAGATTCAATGTTCATGTGCTGCATTTGGCTGTTATACCTTCTTAATCTCTTTTAATCTAGCATAATCTAGGATATATTTTTGAAGGCAGAGCCAACAAAATTGCTGATTGGATGTTGAGTGTAAAGGAAAGAGAAGACTCCAAAAGGTTGGGACCAAGTAGTTGTAGGATGCATTTTTCCTGTGCCGAAATGAAGACTGTGGCAGAAACACATTTGAGGAGGAAGATGAGTTTCATTTTGGACTTTTGAGGGGTCCACTCAACATCATACAAGAGATGTGAAATTAGCAGTTATAGAATCTGAAGATATCCATGATGGAGATGTAAAATAAATACACATGAGCTTTGATAATCTGGGTGGGCAGGGAAGGGGTTTCTGAGGGGGTGCATCTGTGCAATGAGTGAAGAGAGTAGGAAGCCCTTTTTTCCGGGGAAAAGCGCTCCAGGTACGGGAACAGCTGGTGCAAAGGCCCTGCGTCTGGGTGCAGCTTGGCGAGTTGGAGGGACTGTGGGGAGTCTGGTGTGTCTGCAATGAACTAAGCAAGAGGAAGAAAAGACTGAAATCAGAGAGATCAACAGGGAACAGAGCATGTAGAGCAGCAGTTCTCAGCCCTGTTTGATTGTTTAAAGGACCCGATGTCCGCTTTCTCCTGCATATATTAGGTTGGCCAAAAAGTTCATTTGGGTTTTTCCAATGCATTTTATGGAAAACCCGGAACGAACTTATTAGCCAACCCAATATCTTCCCATGCCCACTTTACTCTCTGAAATTATATATACAATGAGCCTATTTATATAAAGAGAAAGCATATCTACATCTCTAAAATTTTTAACAATTGTATTGAGATATAATCCACAAAGATAGGTTGGACCTATTTAAAGTGTGCAGTTCAACGGCTTTATTGTATTCAGAGCCGGGCATCCCTCACCGCAATCAATTTTAGAAGTTTCATTTCCTCAAAAGGAAATCTTGATCCCCTTAAACACTACCCCTCAATCCTCCCAGCTCTCCCCACCCCAGCCCTAAGCCACCACTAATCTCCTTTGTCTCTATAGATTTGCCTGTTCTGAACATTCACATAAGTGGAATTATACCATATGTGGTCTTCTGTGCCTGGTTTCGTTCACACAGCATAATGTTTTCTAGGCTCATCCATGTTGTAGCAAGCATCAGTCCTTCAACTGGTTTAAATTGACTGTAATCTTCCACTGTACGGATGTACATTTCCTATATCCCTAAATATTTTTTCATAAAGGAGAAATGAAAGGAAGGTGATTTGTTATAAAATAAGGTGAGTTTTAATATGGTGGCTCAGACAGTAAAGAATCCACCTGCCATGAAGGAGACCTGGGTTTGATCCCTGGGTGAAGGGAATGGCAACTCCACTATTCTTGCCTGGAGAATTCCATAGACAGAGAAGCCTGGTGGGCTACAACCATGGGGTTGCACAGAATCAGATATGACTGAGTGGCTAACACTTAACAAGATGAATTTTAATATGTAAATGCTCAGGCAGGGCCGCAGTAGAAGAAATAATGAAATAGCCGTTCACACCTAACATGGCCTGAGTGACACAGCAAGAAACATGGTGATCCAGAGCGTAGTAATAGAGACTTAAATGATACAGATGGCGTTATTACCAGTGTCATGGTTTTCTTTTTTTTAATTGAAGTGTAGTTGATTTACATTGTTATGTTAATTTCTGCTGTATGGCAGAATGATTCAGTTATTTGTATATATACGTTCTTTTTCATATTCTTTCCCATTATGGTTTATCACAGAGTACTGCATATAGTTTCCTGTGCTATTCAGTAGGAACTTGTTGTTTATCCATTCTATATATAATAGTTTGCATGATGTCATAGTTTTCTAAAATGATGAACGACTCGGTAAAGTTTAGAACAAAACAAAATACAGCCTTATTTTGACTTACTGATACTGTAGTTCCATTCCTGAAAATTTCAATAGATCTTAAAACTTAAAAAAGAAAAAAATACTTGGTACTTAACATGTAGCATGAAGTTCAGTTCTGGGTTGGGAGATTTATAAACAGACTTTTCACCAACATGAATGTCCAGGGGGACACTCAAAAGTCATATAGAACTTGTGACAGTTCTTCATTGCCAGGAACTGACTCTCACGTTTCTGTGTGCAAACATCTTTGGCCCTGCCCACTGAATGCCCGCATCTGCCCTCAGTTGTTTCTTGGCAACCAAAACCACTTCGTTTCCCAGACACCACTGGGGTCAGGTTTAGGGGTTAAAAAGGAGAGGCAGAGATGAGGGCTACCAAGGATTGAGCCCACAGGTCTGGGGGGATGTGACAAGCACTGGAAAGGAGGGACTTCTGTGTAGAAATGCTCTTGGAGATGTGAAAGGAGACGTTTGGTTTTGAAATATCCCCACTGGAGTTAAGATTGATCTGATTTGTAGCTGCAAAGGATGGGCTGCTCTACAGCTGAGAAGGGGGACCATCATATAACATGACCAGTTTACTCCATCTTCTCTGATGTAAGCTCTGTTACCATCATTTCACAGATAAGATTATATATTTCATGTATAAGATTGCTAGGGCTGTCATAACAAGGTTCCACGAACTGGGTGGCTTAAACAACAGAATTCATTCTCTCACGATTCTGGAGGCTAGAAATCTGAGCTCTAGGTGTTGGCAGTGTTGGTTTCTTCTGAGGCCTCTGTCTTTGACTTGTAAATGGCTTTTTTCCCTCTCTCCCTCTTTTTTTTTTTTTTTTGCCATATTCATGGCTTGCGGGATCTCAGTTCCCCAACCAGGGATTGAACCCGGGCCATGACAACGAAAGCCCAGAGGGCCATGGCAGTGAAAGCCAGGAGTTCTAACCATTAGGCCGCCACAGAACTCCTCCTCTCTGTCTTCACATGGTCCTCCCCATTTGTGTGTCTATGTCCTAGTCTCTTCTTATAAGGACACCAACCATATTGGATTAGGGTCCATCCTAATGAACACACTTAATCTTCAAGGCCTGTTTAAAGACCCTATCTCCAAATACATTCATATTCTGAGGTACTAGGGGTTAGGACCTCAAGAGGTGAATTAGGATGGGTGGGAGCAACAATTCAATCCATAACAACAGAAAGGGTAATCCAGGTGACCATGTCATGGGGTGGAAAGCACAATGGAGCAGTAATCCATGAAGCTGAATTTCAGTTCCTTCTGGGTAACCTTGGGGCAAGTCCCCTTCACCTCTTAGGCCTTGGGTGGCTCATCTGTAAAGTGAAACTAATGATGCCTTTTCTGAGGCTGGGAGTCAGAGTACTTAACGATATAGAAGGACATGGGCACCAATGCAAGCTTGGGGCGGGGTCCTGGCGGGCTCCCTCTGGGTCAACCATTAAACTTTTAGGCGCTGGATGTAAGGAGGACCCAGGGGTCCCAAGGACAGGGTGGCTGAGAGGCTACTGAGGGGAGCTGGAGTACTAGCTCCTTTTTTCTTTTAACTAATAAATATGGAAATATTTCAGTATTTCTGCACTATTATTTTTATTTATTTATTTTCTTTTAGCTGTGCTGCAGAGTGTGCAGGATCTTAGCTCCTCCATCACTGATCGAACCTGTACCCCCTGCAGTGGAAGTGCAGAGTCCTAACCACGGGACCACCAAGAAAGTCAATATTTCTAACCAAGGACTTCCCTGGTGGTCTAGTGGTTAAGAATCCATGCTTCCACAGGAGGGGACACGAGTCCGATCCCTGATGGAGGAGCTAAGATCCTGTATGCTGCGTGGCCAAAAAAAATAAATTTAGATTAAAAAAAATTTTTTTTCCCTAACCGGTAGGACCATACTGGTGCATATCCAGGGGGCTTGCTGGGTCTGATTTTGGACACTTGAGAGCCAGGGGTGGGAAATGCCTTGAGATGGCGAGTCTTAGACGAATACTGCTGTTCAGTCTCTGATGACCCCGCCCCTAAAGACCCTCCCTCTGGCTCCCCACGCAGGCCAAGCTGATCGTCCCCAACAGCACAGCGGGCCTGATCATCGGCAAGGGGGGCGCGACCGTGAAGGCCGTGATGGAACAGTCGGGGGCTTGGGTGCAGCTGTCCCAGAAGCCGGAGGGCATCAACCTGCAGGAGCGCGTGGTGACGGTCAGCGGCGAACCCGAGCAGGTGCACAAGGCCGTGAGCGCCATCGTGCAGAAGGTACAGGAAGATCCCCAGAGCAGCAGCTGCCTGAATATCAGCTACGCCAACGTGGCTGGGCCAGTGGCCAACTCCAACCCCACCGGCTCGCCGTACGCCAGCCCTGCCGACGTGCTGCCCGCCGCCGCCGCTGCCTCGGCCGCCGCCGCCTCGGGCCTGCTGGGCCCGGCGGGGTTGGCGGGCGTGGGGGCCTTTCCGGCCGCCCTGCCTGCCTTCTCGGGCACCGACCTGCTGGCCATCAGCACGGCACTCAACACGCTGGCCAGTTACGGCTACAACACCAACTCCCTCGGCCTGGGCCTCAACTCGGCCGCAGCCTCTGGGGTCCTGGCCGCCGTGGCCGCCGGTGCCAACCCTGCTGCCGCCGCGGCCGCCAACCTCCTGGCGTCTTACGCCGGAGAAGCAGGGGCTGGGCCAGCCGGAGGGGCTGCTCCGCCTCCACCCCCGCCGCCGGGAGCCCTGGGGTCCTTCGCCTTGGCCGCGGCCGCCAACGGCTACCTCGGGGCCGGGGCGGGCGGCGGGGCCGGCGGAGGGGGCGGCCCGCTGGTGGCCGCTGCGGCCGCAGCGGGGGCGGCTGGGGGTTTCCTGACGGCGGAGAAGTTGGCTGCCGAGAGTGCCAAGGAGCTGGTGGAGATTGCGGTGCCTGAGAACCTGGTGGGAGCCATCTTGGGCAAGGGGGGCAAGACGTTGGTGGAGTACCAGGAGCTGACAGGCGCCCGCATCCAGATCTCCAAGAAGGGCGAGTTCCTGCCAGGCACGCGGAACCGGCGGGTCACCATCACGGGCAGCCCCGCGGCCACGCAAGCCGCTCAATACCTCATCAGCCAGCGGGTCACCTACGAGCAGGGAGTGAGGGCCTCAAACCCCCAGAAAGTGGGATGAGGCCTGTGGTGTGTGCTCCCACCTGGCTCCCTGTCCCTCCTCCTCCCCCTCCTCCTCCTCCCCCTCCCCCAACTCCTGACCTCAGCTCGGTATAGTCCTGCTCCTCTTGGGATGGGGCTGGGGTAGGCCTGACTGCACTCCCCCCCACCCCTTTTCTGGTAGTCATAGGCAGGATTGAGTGATGGCTGGGGACGGGGCCAAGAAGCTCCCTCCCCAGCCCTGAACTGACCCCTTCTTCCCTTCCTCCCTATGCTTGACTGGGCCTGACCCTCTTCTCCCAGGGCCCAGGTCTGTGTGATATCTGTATATATTGCATTTTGTTGATTTTAATAGAAAACAAAGCGTTATTTTCTCTTTTCTTTCCCTCCTTTTTTTCCCCCTCCTTTGATAAGGATTTCCCCTCCCCCCTTTATAAGCTTTTTGTTTCCATATGGGAGGAGGGGAGGAGCCTCTGGGTCACCTAGAATGACGGGCCTCTCCTGCTTTCAGCTCCGGATCTGAGGGACATGACGGAAGCAGAGGTAGCAGAGGAGTGTGAGTTGAAACGGGGTATTTGGAGCAAGGACCCCAGAGTTCCCAGATTTTATCAGCTACTCTCCCCCCTGCTGGAGCTGCCCCTCCTAGGTGGGCCTTTTCAACTCTTTTGTTGTCAGGTTGTATGGAGGGGGGGGCGGGGAGGGGTGCGGTGCTGCTGGGAATAAGGCCGGCTCTGGGACTGGGCCAGTCCGGTGGGCAAGACTGGCAAGAGGCTGGAACAACTTCCTGTGGCATCTCCTATGGCTTTTCCTAGAGTAATGGGTATGAAGGTCTTTGTTGTGATGTCACTGACTCAAGTACTTTCCTGGGGTGCTTCTGGCACTTTGTATGATGTCCCAGGAAGTAGTTCCCCAGAGGTCACTTCCTGTGATGATAGGAGAGACAGGTACTTCCTGTGATGTCTCAATGAGCCTTCCTTGAAGGTTACTTCCGAGATGTCGCAAGGGCATGCACTTCCTGTGGTGTCTCTAGGTTACTTCCTATGACGTCACTGGGATGAAGCATGCACTTCCTGTATCAGGCCATGGCCAATCACTGATCCTCCACTACCCACACCTCTCTGTGGTGGGTCTTGGCCTGGGGGTCTTCCTAGAAGAATAAGGCGTGGGACTTGGATCTAATTTGGAGGACTATAAGGAAGAAGACCCACTATTTTCGGGGTCACCTCCATCCAAACACACCAAGTCAGAACTCACCTGGCAGGGAGGGGTGGGAGATGGAGCTGATGAAAACTGTTCAAGACCCTCTTTCCCACCCCCGCCTTTTGTGTGCATGCTTGTGTCTGCGTGGCTTTGTTTCATTAAGTCTGGTGAGCCAAATGTATGGTGGCTCTGTCCGGCCACGGTGGCCCAGGAGAATGCAGTGAGCCATGGTAGAGTCCCTTGAGCTGGAATGCTTTGTGTGGTCTAATGTGTTAGATTGATTTGTGGTTTCTGGCAAACTGGAGTACTCTGGTGGTCTCTGATGGATCGGCATGTTTTGGTGTTCTCACCATAGGCTCTGAGGATCTAGAATGTTCTGATGAAGTCTGCCAAGCCAGGCAGCCCTGAGAGTTGGTTTGAGAGTGGCTCCCTGGGCACTGCGGCTGTGGTCAGCTCTAAGGCCTTGTTGGCAGGCTGAGATCTCAGGGCCTGACAACCCTATGGACTTAGGAGAGCTGAGACCCACCTCTACCCCATCCATCTCCCCCTCCCTCATGGAGACCACCTCCACTTCCTCCAGCCCAAAGCAGGGACCCTAGTGCCCTGGTTCCATCATCAGCATCTCTGGGGGAGGGGCACCCCCTGCCCACCCTCTCCCCCAGTTGTCCCCCTCATAGGTCTTCCAGACCCTTCTCTTCTCCATGGCTTTGGGGAAATCCGGCCTCCTCGTCTCTCTCCCAAAAAAGGAGAGGAGAAAAGCCAGAGACAATTCTTACCCCTAAAGCCTGGGAGACCCCTGCCCCTTGCTAGAGAGCCACCCCCAAATCAAAATGTGAAAATCCCTAGAAAGCAATAGCCTTCAAGGTACCTTGCACTGAATTTCCCACCACAGCCCTGATGGGAGGCTGTAGCTTGGGCACTAGGGTGACTTTTTCCATGCCCTCTTCATCTCCAGGGTAGGGGGCAGGTCCCATTTCCCCATCCTTCACCTCCCATCGCTGCTGCCGTCACCCCTAATCTCCAGACTAAACCCGGATGGAGATTTGAGTGCCAAAACAATTCTTGATGTAACCTTGTACATATCTTCTGCAGTTGGGGGCTCTTGGGGTAGGAGGTGGAGGTGGTCCTATGGGCCACTGCTCCCCTCCATCTCTCAAAAGACCTTAGAGTATTTCACAGCATCTCCACCCACATGTGGAGACTGCAGTATCAAGCTGGAATTTCCCCCCTACAACTCCCCAGGCCCCCATAAGCAGGGGGAAGGAGCCAGGAAGAGGTGAAGTAAGGTCTGGGAGTGGGGAGGTGGGATTTAAAGGCACTCATTTGCATATCATTTGCATCCTCAGCTGCCCTTCTAGCTTGTCAGATGCTTTCTGTAGACCTATTTCTGGGTCCCAATCAGTGGGATCCAGTACTCCTCTCACACAGACACATCTCTGGAGGCTGGGCCTCCTGAAAAGTGTTCCCTTGGGGTATCTGTGTGACAGCCCCCTCCCTATTCACATTTTTCGGGGACCCCCTACCCCACCAGCCAGGGCTATCTGAAAGGTAGTTTGCTAGCTCAGTCAGCTAGTTCACTCACTGTGTTGGTGAGTGGAGAGCCACACACCTTTCCCCATTTTACCACTCCACTGTCTTCCCCATCCCTGGAAAGTCCCTTCTGCAATCTGACCTCAATCTTTTGTGCTGCAGTTTGTCAAGAGGGGACACAGATGTGGGGTCAGCGATGGGGAATCATTGAAAAACCCATCACCTCTTCCCCCCCCCCTCCCTTCCCTGTTAGCCAGTCAGATCTGAGAGACTCTGAGTGGCCTCCCTGCACCCTGCTCTTCAGCACCCAACAGGTGCTTAATAAGTGTTTGCTGCATTGAATTGTTTCCTTTTTCTTTCCTATTTGCCCTCCAGCCCCCAACACCCACCCCAACCCAGCACTTTCCTCCCTCTCTGGTTCCCTAAGACTTTTACTTTCTCTCCCCGTGGTTCCCATCGTTACCTGTCCTGTCTCTATCTTTGTCTATGTCTGTCTTTTTCCTCAACTCTCAACCCTCTCCTTTCCTCTGTTTCCCATTGATTAAAAAAAAGTGCCAAACTTCCTTGGAACTGAGCCGCTCTGGGGGGAGGGAACCTCAGATAGAGGGGAGGAAATGGGACCCTCTCTCTTTGAGGAGGCCCCTAAGAGGTGTTGAAAAAAAGTCTGTGGACACTTAGCTTAACTGGGTCTCCCTTCCTCACCCCTCCCACCCCCAAGTTTTCTTAGAATCTTTGTAAGAAAAAACAAAAGAGAAAAAAAAAAAAAACCTCCCCTTCATTTAACTCCTAATCTTTTGGATCCCCCAATTTCCACCAGCTGGGGAGAACCCCACTCACCTCCTTCAGGCAGATCCGTAGAAATTGGGGAGGGGGAGGCAAACAACCCCTCCTCTGCTGGCCTGAGGGATGGTGCCAACTGGATTCGAGAGAAGGACCTCAAAGCACTTATGACAAGAAGGGGTTCAATGTGCCAAATTCACCTCCTTCATCCCCCGTCCCAGGGGGCTCTGAGCCAACCTGCCCCAGCTACCTTCTTCCACCCTGTCCCGGCCATCTCTGCATGGGCAAGGAGGCTTCACTGCAATAATTATTAAGGGATCAGAAGGCAAAGATCGTGCCATCTTTATCTGCCCTAATGCCTTGTAGGTGGGAATTATGGGTAGCCCAAATGGAGTTTGGTAAGAGTCGACTTAACAGACAGTGGGGGACCTATACTCGGAAGAATACGGTACCACTTTTCTCAGAGTGGTATTTCTTCTCCCCCTTCCTAACCCCAAATCACTCAACATCCCCTTGTTTTGTTTCTCCTGCCTGTTCCTCCATCCCTCACCCTCCTGATTTTGTTTCTGATTGGTGGCCTGCTGTTTGGAAAGTGAGAGGATTCCCCCGCACTGAGTATTGCTCTTTCAGTACCAGGAATAGAGGCAGTGATGGACGGAGCGGTGGAAAAAGGTGTTAACTAAGAGTGGCGATGAGGTTGGCATTCGGGGCGTCCAGGCTGCTGATTTGGGTGCACACCGATCAGCACAGTCAGGCAGGCTTTCGCTGCTGGCCACGCACCTGCCCGCCCTGCCGTCAGGAACCCCAAAAGCTGGTTGTCTCGAAAGCCTGAACTGGATGTCACGGTGGGGAGAAGCGGAGCGCGATGCCCGAGTTGGGGCGCTGCGGGGTTCAGGAGGCTGGTCTGGGCTCTGGTGGAGTCGCGACAGCCAGCTCTTCTATCGCTATTCCGCTCCACCGCAGTCAGCCGCCTGGACGCCGTAGTGGGGGGGGTGGGGGGTGCGGTGTTCTCTCCGCGGTGCCGCCGCAGGTGTGTGTGTGGTGTCAGTGCCCGCTGCCCCTTGCGTGGGGGATTGCTGGGTGGCAGGGAGGGAGTTGGGGACAGTCTCGGTGGGGGTGGGGGTGGTGAAGGCTGCTGGTTTTTAACCCCTTCTCAGCCAGTCCAGGACACTTTTCTCCCAGAGATAACTGCGGGGGGAACCTCCTTATCCCCCTCCCCTCCCCTTTCTCCTCCCCCCACCCAAAACCACCAACCTCTCATCTTCTAAGTGACTCCATCACCACCGGCCACCGGGACCTGCGGCTTCATTGCTCCAGCCCGCCCCACTCGACCGTCAGACTCGCTCATCGAACTCTTTTTGATTAACCCTTTGTGTTCATCCCACGGAAAACTGTGTGTCCGGCGGGGGGAGGGGGGAGGCGGGGGCAATGGCTACTTTTCCTCCATCTCCTCCCACCGCCCTTGCCACCCCACCCGCACCCCATCCCATGCCCCACACCCGTCCCTCACCCCTAGGGTCCTCCCCAGCCTGGGGATAGAGACCCTTTATAAATACTATGCTGTTTGGCTTCGTCCCTTTCAAAGGCAGGGTCGGGGCGCGGTTGCCTCCGAATGGAGAGCTTACTCTGGCCCCACCGCTTTCTGTGCCCCGCTCCACTCCCCACCCCTTCATTGTAAATAGTCACTTTTGTACTGGTTTGAGCCAGGGGACGTGGGGAGTCATTTTTTTTCTTTGTGTTGGCATCTCAGGCCATTGGAGGCATGGCCCACATCCCAGTTTGATTTGGGAGAATCCCAAGACGTGTCCCCTCACCTGCCCCCAGTGCGTAGGATTTCAATATATCAGTATTAACTCTTAAAGGGATGGGGTGCACAGATCCCCTGGCAGGGAGGTGGGAGAGGTGTGGAAAGGATGACTCAGTTTCCCCCATCTATGAAGTGGGCTCATCCTCCAAGTTCAGTAAGGAGCCTGCATGAAATACTGGTGGAGTCAGAGGAGTTAGAATCTCTTTCCCCTTTCTCTGGGACAGATAGGGGAGGAGAAGACTGGGGATGGGGATAGGACTATCTTTGGAGAGCTGATTGTTAAATCCTTGTTAGGACCTCAAGCTAGCTTCTCCCAGGCTTGTTCTCTGTCTTGGAAAGTGGGGGGAACTGGAGGACCTCTAAGGCCCCTGGGATAACCCCAATCCTTAGATTCAGAGCTTGAAGCCCAGGGTTGGTCCCCTGCCTGCTGCCCAATTCCCACATTCCACTTCTTGGGCCCAGACCATCTGCCATGTGGCCACGCCTCCAGTGCCTCCATTCAACCCCCTCTAACTGATTCCTTCCATCCTCTGCGACCAGAGACGCCGCCCACCCCACTCCCCACCCCCCACCTTCAGAAGCTCCTGGCTGGAGCCCACTGCCCTCCCTCTCCCCTCCCCCCATTGCCATGCCTGGGCCATGCCCACCCCCCACCTCCCCACCCACCCCCCCCAGTGTCCGTCGTGTGACCTAGTGCACCATGTATTAGCTTCCATGGCCCCCACCCCCGGCCCCCACCACACCCCCTTCCCCCACCCCTGCTCCCTCGGCGACTTCACCTTTTTTTGCCGCGATAAACGCCATCTCAGCATCTGTGTCTAATGTTGTCTTTTTTGCTTGACATCACACACTCCTTCTTAACCCATCCCCTTCCCTCTCCCTCCTCTCCCCACCTCCACCCTCATCCTGAATTCTTTCCCCCTTTCCCCCAGGGCTCTGGGCATCTAGGGGAGGCGGGTGGGGGGACCCCTGAGGATGGGCCCCAGAGAAGGGAGGGGAGGGATGGATTGTTCTTTCTGGACTGAGTGAGCCCCCAGAGCAAGTGTGTCTGAGGGGAGCCAGTGATCCAGGTTTAGCTCCGTGGACCTCAGTGTCCAATCAGGATTAACACCACCACCACCACCAACACACACACTCACACACACACACACAAACACAGCATAGCAAAGGCACAACCCCAAGTAGAGTCAGGAGAGCCCACGGTTAAGGTTTTGGAGTTAGGTGAGTTTATATCCCCGTGCTGCTATGTCACCTTGGGACTTTGAGGTGCTGAACCTCCATTTAACATTTCTTAAAAATATTATTGCTAGTAGTTTATGCTAGGATTCACTAAAAAAAAAAAAAAATTACTGTGCATCTGTGAGAAAGGCACTGTTCTAGGTGCTGAAGATAAAGTGATTAGCAGAAGAGACTCAAATAGCTCTGCCTTCCTGGAGCAGACATACTACTGGGATCTGGAATTCTTCCTTAGCCCAGAACCTGGCACATGGGACTGAAAACAATTCAGGAGTTGCAAACCATAGGCCTGCACGCAGGTCTGGTGCACACATCACCTCCTTCAGCCTGAATAGGATTTCTTGTGAATTCGGTGCCAGCATTTAAACCTTGGGAGACTTCTGCAGATGAGCCCCTCTTGAGAAATCAGATGTGGCCTGAGTGTTGATTGTCACCTGGTCATGATGGGCAGTGAGGCAGTCACCCCCACATCTGGGGCAGGTAGTCTCAGCCCCCTTACTGTTCATTTGTGTCCCACGCCTGGCCCCTGGATGCATTTTTGTTTATAACCCATGTTGTAAATGTTTAATGCTAACATCCTTACATCTTGGAGGTGTCAGAGATGCCTCTTGGCAGGTGATGATGTGCTGGGCAAGAGGAAAGATGAAGTTTGAGGCGGAGAGACAAGGAGATGGGCTTAGGGGCTTCCCAGGTGGCTCAGTGATAAAGAGTCCACCTGCCAATGCAGGAGATGCAAGAGACCTGGGTTGGACCCGAGTCAGGAAAATCCCCTGAAGTAGTAAATGGCAACCCACTCCAGTATTCTTGCCTGAAGAATCCCATGGACAGAGGAGCCTTGCAGGCTACAGTCCATGGGGCCAGAGAGTCGGACATGACTGAGCACACACACACGCTGTAATTGTGGTGTGACCAACCAGGGCACCTCACTTCCTCTCTCTGGGTCTCCAGCTCCACATCTGGAAAATACCTGATCAAGCTGTACTTACCTTTTAGGACTCCAAAAGTAAATCACTTCATAGTACCCGATACGTGGTACTTAGCACATCATATTCACTGGAGCATCCCTTCCAGTTGAAAAATAACAATAAAAATGATTCTAGAGGAGGACAGAAACCAAGAGACAGGATGGGAGGAAAACTGAGAGTGAGGCTAGGACAAAGTAAGAGACATCCATGGGGATGAGGAGCAAGGCAGACATGAAGAGGCATCCTCAACTGCTTGGGGTGTGTTTTTCATTCATTCACTCATCCATTCATTCATTCATTCAACAGACATTTATTGAGCACCTGCTATGTTCTCAGTCCTGGGGACATGGCAATGACCATGATAAGTCATAGCTCTTGTATGTACAGGCTGAGCATCATATCTCCAACTCTTAGCACATAGTATAGATGCTCAAAAGTCTCCCATCCCTTGTGTCACAGGCACTTCTGGTCCCGGCCTGTGACCCTCCAGGATTATCTGATATTCAGAAATATCACCAAGCCAGGCCCATTTTCAGGAAAAATAAAGGAATTTTCCACCAGGAACCCAGAAACTTGGAAGGGTTTGGGGGCTGGGGGGTTGGGGAAGTGGAGTTTGGTCTCAGTTCTGCTGTGTGACTTGCAAAAACTCTCACGGCCTCTCTGGTCCAGGAGATGGAAAAGAAAGGTGATGAAATCAGGATGAAGGTGAGTAAGGGGGCATTCCTAACTTCCCCAAAGGCTCTAGATCTCCTCTGGTAGGGAGGGGGAGAATTGAGGGGAGGAACCTCTATGAGAAGAGAGATGAAGAAAGAAGATGGGGGAGTTGCCTGGAGGAGAGAGATGGCCCTAGAGACAGGGCTGGGGTGGGAGGATGGAGGGAGGAGGGAGCTTGGGTGGGGATGTGGGGGAGAGGCATCAGGGGTGGCTCTGAGAGGCCATTGCAAGGTCATTAAGAGTGAACAGAGAGGCAGAGGTAGACTGGTATAGACAGAAACCAAGCACAAACCGGAAATGGAAACGAGGCAGAAAGAGAAATGGAGACAGGGAGACTTAGCAAATAAAAATCTTGTATGTCCAGTGAGATTTAAATTTCAAATTTTTTTTTAAAATTAATTTTCTTAAGTGTAAGTATATCCCATGCCATATTGGGGCCACCCATCTACTACAATATTAGTTCTTAAAATATTAGTTCAAGGGACTCCCCTCGTGGTCCAGTGCACTTCCACTACAGGAGGCATAGGTTTGATCCTTGGTCAGGGAATTAAGATTCCACATTGCAGTGTCACCAAGTTAATTAAATCAGAAGGGTTTTAAAAATTATATTAGGTTAAGTGTCACTGGGCATCCTGTATTTTATCTGGCAATCCTAGAGGGAGGAGAAGAGAGAGAGATCTGAGTAACCACAATAAAACCAGAGGTAGTCAGAGGAGCCGGGTCATCCAAGTCCACCGTCTGGAATCCTAAATCCAGCATGCCTGGCCTGCTGCCTCTCTATGCCCCTGGGTCTCTCCATCTCTAAGGCCCCCTCTTTTTCACAAAGCCTCCCTCTCTTCAAGCCTCCCTCCGATCCCTCCACTCCTCTTAGTTCTTCAGCTTTCCACTACCCTCAGGAATCTGCCTCAGACATCAAAAGTGGTTACGTCGCCATTGTCACCCTTTCCCAAGTCATCAGGGGATTGGTCTTTCAGGGTAAGACCAGTGACAAGTTACAGACGTGAGGACTACATCTAGGGTCTCTACTCCTTCCTTGGGCAGGCTTGTTGAAGTTGGGGCTTTGGGAAAAGAGACCTTCTGTCAAAAGAATGCTCCATCATTCTTCTGGGAAACTTGGGAGGGGAGGAGGGCCTTGGGGATTCTGACAAGTCAGAGACCTCCCTCTCCAGCATCCTCTCCATCCTCCTGCCTCCTACTGCCATGCCTTCCTGAGTTTAGTCGCTAACGGGTCCTCTCTACCCACACTCCCACTCCAGCATTCAGGGAAGGTCTCTGTGTCACTTTCTGCTCCCCTGTCCTTGTCTCTGCTTATGCTCCTCTCTGCCTCAGTTTACCTTCAGTATTTCTCTGGATATCTGTCTCACTCAGCACATCTTCCTCCTTTCTATCACTCTTTCTTTTTTCCTTTTAATTCCATCCCATCATATCCCTGAAAGTTCTCTTTCCTAGTCTCTGCTAGAAGATGAGGTCTCTGCGTGCCTCTCTGATCACTCTTCCTGTTCCTGCCTGTGTCTGGCTCTCTTTCTACCTTGTCTCTGTACCTGTTATTATTGCTCAGTGACAGCAAAAAAAAAAAAAAAAAAAAAAAAATCCAGCAGAAAGGGGCTTATTAGGTGGCTCAGATGGTGAAGAATCTGCCTGCAATTCAGGAGACCTGGGTTCGATCCCTGGGTTGGAAAGATCCCCTGGAGGAGGGCATCGCAACCCACTCCAGTATTCTTGCCTGGAGAATCACCATGGACAGAGGAGCCTGGCGGGCTACAATCCACGGGGTCGCAAAGAGTCGGACACGACTGACTGACTAAGCACCCACACACACACACGGGACCTAGGCAGGATCTGGCAGAAGAAACAGCTTCCAGGCAGGAACTGCTGCTTCTCTCCGCAATCAGGAAGCCGGCCACTGCCCCCACAACCACACCAGCTCGCCGAGACATACTCTGGCAGGGCCCGGGCCTCGTGGCTGCCTTTCACCCCACTTACCTTGGTTGGAAATTCAAGTTTCCCGCGAAGGCATCTGATTGGTGAAACATAAACCTCCGTCTGGCACGCCCAACCACATGGCATTCTGGGAAATGTAGTTTTTAGCTTGCCAGCCTTTGCAATCCCGAGAAAGCGCGGTATGTACGTTATGTATG